TGTACATATTCTTATCAAGGAATATTCAGCCACGAACCCTCACGTCAACCATTCAAGCGCCTCATCGGCATGTGCCGCTGCCGCGCAAACCGTCGGACTCAATCAACGGCGCCCGCGCGGCGGGGCTGGCCCCAAGCGCATCACCCCGTTTCACGTCACCTCCTGCGCACGGGTCTCTGCAGCTTGCAAACGGCCGGCACGTAGGGCACCCACAACCCACGCGGGCACGCGGACCTGTGTGCCCATGGCCCTTGGCCACCCACGAGCATATCCCCAGCGGTCTTGGCCCGGCCGGCCTTCAATCATCGACGAGCACGATGCCGCCGCTTTGCGAGTCGCTGGTCTGCAGCCATGCAATGCATGTGACGTGCCCGGGGAGGCCGAGCGAGCGAGAGAATGCTCTGCTCTCCCAACCGCAGGCAGGCAGAAAGGATGCGTCCGTTGTCTCCAGCGTTCCCTTCTGGACCTCCGGCCAAGACGTGGAGCCTTTTCCTCGCAGCAAATTGAAATAGTGCGATGATCAGCCCGGGTGCTTGGTCCCACTGTCAGTCCGTAAGTGGTGCCACGAACTGTGCTCGCTACGTACGCCGTACGTACTGGAAACAATAATCCTAGACCTACGGGCCTATTACAGGCAAGTTACGGAAGCCCTTCGCTAATTCTCTTCGGCCCCCCTGATTTTCACCGGGGTGGCCCCGCTTCCTTCCCTTCTTGCCAATCAAACCATGCCATGTCAGTGTGTAATTAGTCTCGGCCTGTAAATGTCCGTACGTGTAGCATTACTGTACTGGAAATCTGGAACCATTACCGGATCACCGTCCGTGCTTGTGGTCGGATCTTTTTTTTTTGAAACAGGGCAAAAGATTTGCCTTGTATATTAATTAAAAGAGGAAAAGAGTTTTACAAGTGTCCATACAACACCGCATGACAATTACTCGCGTATTATGATTTCCCCTAGTTTCCTTGCACCTGCGGCGACCCATAACTTCGCTTCCTCGAGGATGATGTTGAGGACAATTGGTGGCAGTGCACTTTTATGTTGAAAGACCCTAGCATTCCTTTCGTTCCAAATAGCCCAAGAGACAAGCATGGTGCGAGATTCCATGGGCTTGCGTGATGAAATATCCATGCCGGTTCTTTTATTCCACCACTCTTCAACGGATCCCGCCAAGTGCCATGTAGATATATCCACATGTTCAAGGCCAAGTTTTGCAACCAGCATGCTCCAGAGTCTAATGGTATAACGATATTTGAAGAAGAGATGTGGCCCGGTCTCGGGCTCGCGTTTGCAAAATAAGCAACAGTTTTCCCATCCACGCTTAGCAAGTCTGTCGGCGGTCCAAATTATGTCCTGAAGGGCCAACCAAGCAAAGAACTTGACCTTTGGTGGTGCCCAATTCTTCCATATCATGCGGTCCAAGGGGGATATGACCAGACCCAAGAATTGGGCTCTATAAGCTGAGGCCGCGGAGTAAACCCCATCATTTTTATGTTTCCACACAATCACATCATCTGCAAGCTCATCAAGATGAAAATCATGCACGAGCATCCAAAGCGTGAAGAATTCTCGGATGTGGTGGACGGTTACAATATCTGGGGGCTTTATCTTGAGGATCCATGCGTTGTTCTTTAAGGCTTCCCTCACCTTTTATGTTTTCCTCGTCGAGGCCTCATAAATAAGGGGAGCGGTGTCTTTTGGTTTACGGCCAAGCAGCCAAGGAGAGTTTCAGAAAGGCGTTCTCGCTTCGTTCCCCACATTGATGATGGTGGAGGCGTAGAAGAACTCAAGCACTGGCGGAGCTTCAGCAAGGCCGAATAGGCCGTGGCCCGCCCAGCCCATGAAGTTTTGTACAGTATACATCTACTCTTGGGCCTTAAAACAACAGACCATAAACTATGTTCTTCTTGTTGGCCCGCCCATGTTTGGGCTGCAAGCTCCGCCACTGAACTCAAGGTCCTTCTCGTCACAGGGGTTGCCTAGACCCACCCAGAGTTTGGATGGTGGTGGTCGGATCTTATCGAACATGGCAAGAAAGCATCTCGAAGAATGTACGTACTAGCTACACTTCGTTACCAATGATGCATGCTGGCAGAAGGCAGATGCTGCGCGGACAACTCGACAGGTTTATTTGATACGTACACCTTGCAAACATGCCACATGCGTGAGACTGAACCGGTAGACACACCACACATACACTTTTGTCCCGTGGCCACACTTTGCAATATCACGCACCGCAACAGACACGTCACTGTCACTCACACACCCAATACACAGAGACACCCTTACCTGCATGCGGACAACTCTGTACGTACTGCTCTTCCCAGACAACCGTTGCATGATGCATGCACCCTGTAACCACCGCAGCCACGTACGTCTCAGATATCTTACAGGCAGACGTGGCACGACACGTCCCGTGATCTCGGCGCGCATGCACGCGTCAGTCGTAGGCGGCGCTGAAGAAGGCCTTGGCGGTGCATGCGGCGAGGATCTGGAGGACGCCGGCGTTGGAGCGGGCGACGCAGCGCGGCGACTTGAACTGGCTCACGGGGGCGCCCAGGGAGAGGTAGTGGCGGAGCACCCGGTGGAAGGTCCCCCGCTTCAGCACCCGCAGCTCCAGCGGGCCGATGGCGCAGGACCGCCGCGACCCGACGTAGCCGGGGTCCGCGAAGGAGCGGTCCAGCTCGTCGCAGCACCCCTGCAGCGCGTCGGCGCTGGCGTCGGCCGCGGCGGCGTTGAGCTCGACGAAGACCACGTAGTGGCCCGGGTCCGACGACATGTCCGCGTGGCTGGTGTAGTCCACCACCTCCAGCTTCTCGGCGGCGAGGAACTTGGCGGCGGCGGCGTCCACGGCCAGCTGCAGGTCCTGCTCGCTGTTCTTGTCGATGTTGATGGACAGCGCCAGGTTCCGGCGGCACACGAACTTGAGCTTGGGCGTCGCGTTGTGGAACCCGGCCACCCGCACCACGTCGCCCAGCCTGTACCGGTACAACCCTGCCAAACATATTTTTCGTTTCAGAAACCACTAGTACAATTCTATCACCAAATAATCATGGAATTTTTTCTTGTGATTTTCCGAGAGTGGAAACATAGTATCCATCGAAGCAAGTCATGATGAAATAAAAGGCCCAGCAGGGCATGTAAAATGATGGGCCAACATGAGACAAACAAGCAATGATGCAAACAAAATTCTCCTATAGCTGTGGTCACGGATTGGACATGTACCGGCAACCTGTGCGTGCCCACTTGTGCTGTGTGTTGCACCGGTTCTTATCCAATTATCATCTGCCAGGATACATCATTTCGTGTAGGCCCGCCCGGCCTTGATGTGGCGCCCATGCTCAACCTCATCCGTGGAGCCATGCAGGTGAGGTGACGACAAACCCTACTGTTAACTGACGCACTTGAAAATTTATCATATTCTACTTGAAAACTAACACAAGAATAGGATAAATTTTCAGGGGTAGATCGATAGGGAGGTTAGGAGTGTGCGTGGCTTCAGATGACGGAAGAGTTTTTGTTGCCTTTGATCTTAGGTTTTGTTTGACAGTTGCAGGCGTTGCATTCACATGTTTGACAGTTGCAGGAGTGCTCGTTGTTTTGGCCTACATTTCTTCTACGTGATCTTGGACGAGTTGTTTGTTGGAGAGGAGGTCGACGGTCCATAGTTTCGTCTTTTGCCTTCTTCTTTCGGCGTTGCGCGACAATTTCAACTTCGTTGAAAACCCTAGTGAGATAAGGCCTCCTCGATTCTGTCTAGCCAGATTTGGGATGATTACCCAACTCACTTTGCCTTCTTCTTCTCCAGGACGGAGATCTGATTCTCTGTGTGCTATCACCGGCTTCTCCTGGCTCGCTCTGACCGATGCCTTCCCTCCGCCACATCAACAACGTTACCCTGGCACCACGGGCATTCTAGAGATGCAAAGGTGACATCGAGTTTTGCTCATGGCACGTTACCAACAAGTGCAAGAGGAAGTTGCCGTCGATATATCAAAGGATATATATTTCATCTTATGCCTTAGTAAGGATAGTCTTATAAAGGTTGGGCAATTTTAATATATGACGTTGCCTTCTCGCGGGCAAGAATGATGAACAAGGGCAAAGGGACAGACCGCCTTGTCTCGCATATATATTTTTACCGGTCCACCGGTTCAACACCTAATCTATGGATTTTGACGCATTTTGATTTTTTAACCTCCATCCCATAATATAATACGTTTCTGCAAGCTATCCACACGCCACACTTTCTAGGCTTGCTTCCCTTTGTTCGGACTTACTACCGCGATAAAAATATGCAATGATGGGCGGAAGTAAGATTTATATTGGAACATCGAGTCCTAAGTCGTGTCTTGGCCAGGGCTATATGTTTGGTCTTTGGAAAAACAACGAGCACTTGATTCTTGGTGTTTTGGCTCGATGTGTTGAATGATAATATTCATTCCAGATAATGCTGAAAAGTCCGCGGACTCTCATCACCTTTTTGTTTTTTCCCAGAGAAAAGGACTTGCATCAGCCGTGTCGATTAACGTACTCTACTAGTCAACAAAGTTAATGTATGCTCGACGGTGTAACTTTCATACAGATCATCGATCACAAGCTACTCCCTTCGTTCCAAATTACTCGTCGCAGAAATGAATGTATCTAGAATTAAAATACATCTAGATACATCCATATCTGTGACAAGTAATTCGGAACGAAGGGAGTACTATATACGTGACAGTAACGCCACAACTAATACCCACCGTAGCCGCCATCTTCTGCTTCGTGAAGCATCACGACAGCGCAGTAGCACTGTGTTCGACTTTGGTTCACTAGGTCAGAGGAGAGAATCCATGCCCTCCAAGATTGCTCGCCAATATACGTCGCAACCAAACGGGGTCTAGTTCATCGGACGGCTCATTTGGTGACCAAATTGACCCACTAGACCGGCTAGATAACGGGGCAGAAAATGGTGTTCGCTCCGGTCCAAATTAATTGGCGCGGCTCTATTATGTCCACTTCAAAATCCCTGTGCGTTTCGACAGGAATCCATCGAGAGGTGACCGTCTTATATACCTAAAAGCTAGCCATTTAGAAAGTGGAGGCTCCACTTGGTTAAGTTAAGACCTCAGTGAAGGACTGATCACCCAGCACAAGGGTTTGGAACCGGAAGGCGACAGGCCAAGTCAATGCCCCCCCTTGCCAAGTGAGAGGGAATAACCTTGGCGGGTTCATGCATGGACTCCATGGAGCGTACGTAAAAGAGGCAAGGAAATAAGGTGGTGCAGTGGTGCAGTGGTGCGTGCGTACCTGCGAATGTGGTCATGACGACCTCGTAGTGCTCGCCCACGACGACGTCCGTCAGGCCGACGGGCTCCGACTCGCCGTAGCACGCGTCGGGGCCGGGGGCGGCCGTGCAGCCGGGCCTGAGGGGGATGAACTCGAAGTAGCCGATGTCGGGGAGCACGGTGAAGGTGGCGGACTCGGGCGGCATCGCGGGCTCCAGGTTGGCGCCGATCCACCCCTCGGACGCGCCGTACTCGGCGGCGACCAGCGGCAGCCCGCCCGCGTAGTGCCGGAGCTTCTTCACGTAGTGCTCCATGGACCCCGTCATAATGCCGTACACGTACTTGGCGTTGGGCCACAGCGCCGGGATCACCCCGTACCAGTTGCTCAGGCCGGCGCACTTGCGCGCCACGGCGTCGGCGAGCTCGGGGTTCGGCCCGGCGAGTAGCGCCGACACGGCCTGCCGGACGGCCGGCGAGGTGACGCGGGTCGGCGACAGGGCGCCTCGGCGGATGTCGGCGCAGAGCTCCTCCCACACCCGCTCGAAGGTCTGGAAGGCGAGCACGACGCTGTGCGCGAAGGTGGCCGATACCATCTGCACCTCGCCGGCGGCGAGCAGGCCGCAGAGGAGGTGGCAGTAGAGCGACTGCGCGAAGTCGGCGCCGAAGATCACCTCGTCGGGGCTGCAGCACTGCGACTGCACCACGCGCATCGTCGCCTTGAACTCCTCGCTGCGGTACACGTTGGTGGTCGCCGTGGTGGCCGTCAGCCCGCCCTTGGTCGTGAACTGCCGGCTGCTGTAGATGAACTGCAGCGCCTTGCCGTCCTCCACGGGGAACTCCCTGCCGTTAAGCAGTCAACATATACACCTCATTAATGGAGATCACCAACCGAAAAACCTTCACTAAAACTAGAAGGAGAATGAGAATGACAGGCCGGCGGTACAAGAGGAACAAAAGGAGGTTGCAGTCGTACGTTAGGCTTATAGCGTCGATCATAGATTTAATTCTAACAGGTTATTCTACAACTGATTACTCCATTCCAACTCACAGATCCATCGATACTGTTGGTTCACGTGATGTACAAATTGATAACAGCCGAATTATGGCGGAGGACGACTCCCCGGCCCGGATCGAGGCCGGGCACCAGAAGCCACAAATTTAACCGAACGAAATCTGGGCTGGATTTGCTCTCTACCTGTTCCTGAAGGCGTAGGAGGTTCGGTATATCTGCATCGTGGACTTGACGAGCTCCTCGTTGAACAGCAGGTACTTGCGCTTCCCCTGCGTCGTGCCGGAGCTGCGCGTCGCGCGTGCACCAAGATGCATCACCATGATCAGTCCTCGAGGAGAGCTTAAAGAGGAGCTAAATGTACGGTAGGAGCCTTGATTGGCAAGTGGCAACGAGCGACCAACCAACCTTAGGGAGATGGAGGTGACGGGCTTGCCGGTGAGGATGGGCGTGGCGTCGCCGTCGACGATGCGCTCAATGTAGGGCTCGAGGTCGGCGTGCGTGGCGAGCGGCACGCATTCCTTGAAGCTGGCGGGGTCGGTGCGGCCGGCGAGGCCCAGCCCCTGCAGGTACTCGGTGGCGCCGTTCTCGACAAGGATCCGCCGCAGCGTCTCCCGCTGCACAATGTCGGCGTCCCGTGTCAGCCGCTCGAACTCGGCGATCACCTTGTCGCCGCTGAACTCGCCGTTCTTCTTCTCCAACATCTTGCCGCTGCTTGCAGAGTCGAATCACCACCGATGCAGTGATGCTAGTCCACTCTCCACACCGGTCGGGCTCCAAGCGGCTGCCACTAGACGCTGCAACAACAGGAAGAAGAGCCGAAACCAAGTCAAAAGCATGGGGGGTGGGGCTAGTTCGACTGTTGAAGAAGAGGAGGTGACGTCAGCGATGAGATTTTGTGTCCAACATCGCTCGTGTCCTCTTTTGGATAAAAAGCTCGAGCGGGACAAAATTAACAGCGGGACTTTTCTTTGCTTCTTCGACGAAACGAAACAAAACAAAACACCGAGAGGGCAAACGAGAGGAGAGGATCGTGAGAAGAGAGCAGCGGGAACAGTGGCCACAGGTCTGTCTGTGTGCTTCTCGCTGCCCGTGAGGTGGAACTACTAAAAACCAAGGCCTAGAAATCTGCTAGTAGTAGCTAAAATTAGTTCAGTCGAGGGACAAAGATCCAACGATCTTCTCTCTCTGCTCTTTCCTTTTCTTCTCTCTGTCACGCAAATTGATGAGGAGCCTACGACGGAGAGCAGAGCAAAGGAACAGCGCAAGAGACAAAGAACAGCTAGGGAAGGGAACCCGAGAAAGAAAGAAAAGGGAGCGCGCGGCCGCGTGGGCGCACTCACCTCGGGGTGTCCGCCGCGGGAGGCGGGACCGGGCAGGCAACGGAGGCCGCGGTGCTGCAGCTAGTCGCGCCGCGGCAACGGACAAAGCGCGACGCGGGAGGGAACGAGACGCCCCTCCGCTCAAGCACCTATGCTAGGCGCGAAGACGCACGGGGGACAGCGCGCGGCGTGGAGTGGAGAGAGTACGGTGAGGTGAGGACTGGGGAGACGACGAACGCGGGCGGATATATACACGCGGGCGGGCGACGCGCGGTTTTATCTGCGTGCGATGCGAGCGGAGCAGGACTGTCGGGAGGGGTAATACAGGAACACACGATCTTTTTTGCCATGGGTTGTTGTTGATGGGACACGATGATGGCCTTTTCATCTTGCTGTGGCACGACACGATCGGGCTGCAGAATACGGCGCAAAGTTTGCTATCCGGTTTTATCCATGGCTGCAAATGGGGGGAGTTGAAGTCGGGAACGGTTTGATTTAGCTTTATCCCCTCGCAGGTAGCGACAGACATGCGGATTTAATTCTAATCACAACATCCTGGTTGTGCACATCAAGTAATTTCAGCATAGGCGAGTGATAGGCGCCGGTCGGCCGGACGAAATTTTGGCCAACCACACTGTGCATGTACGCCTTGCGTAGTTGTAGCCGCGTGATCCCTTTTTCAACTACTTCGTTCAGAAAAAACAGAAAAGAAAATCCATGGTGCCTGTACACCGCGTCCACGACGTGATCCTCCGTGCACATCAAGTAATTTCAGCATAGGCGAGTGATAGGCGCCGGTCGGCCGGACGAAATTTTGGCCAACCACACTGTGCATGTACGCCTTGCGTAGTTGTAGCCGCGTGATCCCTTTTTCAACTACTTCGTTCAGAAAAAACAGAAAAGAAAATCCATGGTGCCTGTACACCGCGTCCACGACGTGATCCTCCGAGACGCCAATCAGCTCGTCAGCCGTCCTCGCCCGTTCGCCACGACGATCGCCGCCCTCGTCGCTGGTGGTCGGCCTCGCAGCAGCAACCTCGCCGGTTCCAGCCGGACGTGTAGCCCTGTAGCGAATCGGCGTCGTCTTGTAGCATGCCCGCCGTCTGTGTAGTTGAAGCACCTAGCCGCACCGTCGTAGCACGTCCGTCACAGCACCATCGTGCTGCCGGCCGCGGCTCTCAACTTAGCGGTTCGCGCAAAATCAGCATGCCGGTTGAAGCCTTTTCTCACGCTGGTGAAAGCTTTTTTCACGTCGGTTGAAGCATTTTTCACAGACTTGAAGCTTTTTCCATGCCGATCGAAGCTTTTTTCACCGCAGGTTAAAGCTTTTTCCCACGTCCATCGGCGCCCGTTGCCCACCTATTTGCAGCACCACCGCGCACCGGTTGTGCCATCTTTTTATGTCGTTTTACAACACTGTAGGTCACCGGTTGAAGCTTTCATGTGACAATATGGTTGTAGCTTTTCTTAATTTGCGGTGGTTTGGTTGAAACTTTTTCAAACTACAGTTGAAGCTTTCATATAAACGGTTGCAGCTCTTCAGTCGCATAGTGGTCCGGTAAGCTTTATATGCCACCGGTTGAAGCTCTATATACCATCGGTTGAAGCCTTTGAATCAAAGGTGGAAATTTTTTACAAGAACGGTTGCATCATCATCTTAGCCGTGGAAGCTCTGACGACTGTCGGTTTCGGTTTGTGACCGAGAAGGTGAGGGTGCGCGGGGGCTGAGAGGGGGAAAAGGCTGGGAGGAGTTGGTTGTCGACGTCTTCTCCTCCCCGCCGTGGCTCGCCCTAAGAGCAAGGTCTCGTTCATGTCGTTGTGTGCGCATGAGCATAGAGACGGAGGAATTAAGCGGTTGCAGCGGCACCTAGTGAGGTAGAAGAAACGGTGATGTGGAAGAAACCGTTTGTAGAAAGAAAGGGGAGCCCTGGGCGACGCATGATACGAATTGATCCACAGGCTCGCGTGCGACCGGCCCAACCTTCGGTTGGCTGCCCGGCCACAAAATTTTCCCTTTAGGATTACGCAGAGTGGATATTTATCTTTTCTACTATGGACAATCTCGTATACAGGGTATAGTCCCTCCACTTCTAGAAAAACCCAAGCTTTGCATAAGTTTTACGCTTTTTTAAGAAAAACTTACGATCCATTCACTAACCGTCAAAATAGTACAAAGAACATAAGAAGTAAAAAAATCATCTAACTCAAAGACCACCTAGGACGACTATAAGCACAGGAGCCAGACAAACATTGTTATAGTAGGGAGTTGGGAACTTGTCGTGCTAAGGCCCCATATGACCAACACACCAGAACAACAACCGCCGATGATAAAAAGAAACGTAGGTCTTAGGCTCCTTTGTTCAAAGAAAAATGAAAGAAAATTGTAGGATTCCTGTGTTTGACTGAGACCCCTAGTGGCATAATAACACGTCAATTATACATTTCATGTGGTTTGACTTTGTTTTGACTCTGTTTATTACGATTCCTATGTTTTCTCTATTCATGTAAATTGAACACCCAAGTTTGTGAAATTCCCACGTTTCCTTTTTTTGAAGAAAAAATGTTATACACATGCATTCTTATCCAATTCTTATTTTTTTTCCTTTCCTGCGTTTTTAGAATCATGTGATCAAAAGGAGCCTCAAAACAAACTTTGAAAATTTTGACCAATGATATTGTTTTAGTTATTTAGACCGAGACATATGCACATTTTTGTCTGAGAAATACTTTCTGGGTAATATTATATTTGGTTGGTTTTATGCATACTCCCTTTGTAACCCTCAAGGGGAGCCAAAGAATATTTGTAAATCACAAGTATATGGGATCACAACAGTTTTCGAGGGTAGAGTATTCAACCCAAATTTATAGATTCGACATAAGGGGAGCCAAAGAATATTTGTAAGTATTAGCAGCTGAGTTGTCAATTCAACCACACCTGGAGATTAATTATCTGCAGCAAAGTGATCAGTAGCAAAGTAGTATGATAGTTTTGATAGTAGGAGCAACAACAATAGTAACAGTAACAGTAATAGCAGTAGTTTTATAGCAAGTGCAATAGTAACAATAGCAGTAGTAACTTAGCAGAAATAATATGTACGAAAATCGTAGGCACTGGATCTGCGATTCGTTGGATGATATTCATCATGAGACAGTCATAACCTAGGGTGATATGGCACTAGCTCCAGTTCATAAATATAATGTAGGCACGTGTTCCGTAAATAATCATACGTGCTTATGGAAATTACTTGCATGACATCTTTTGTCCTACCCTCGCGTGGCAGCGGGGTCCTATTGGAAACTAAGGGATATTAAGGTCTCCTTTTAATAAAGAACCGGAACAAAGCATTAGCACATAGTGTATACATGAACTCCTCAAACTATGGTCATCACCGAGAGTGGTCCCGACTATTGTCACTCCGGAGTTGCCGGATCATAACACATACTCTCTGCGTTCCATATTACTCGTTGCTGATTTAGTACAACTTGTACTAAATCAGCGACAAGTAATATGGAACAGAGGGAGTAGTAGGTGACTATAACTTGCAAGATCGGATCTAGAACATAGATATAATGGTGATAACATAAACGGTTCAGATCTGAAATCATGGCACCCGGGCCCAAAGTGACAAGCATTAAGCATGGCAAAGTCATAGCAACATCAATCTCAGAACATAATGGATACTAGGGATCAAACCCTAACAAAACTAACTCAAGCATGATGAATCTCATCCAAATCATCACCGACTAGCGAGCCTACGAAAGAATTACTCACTCCAGGTGGGGAGCATCATGGAATTGGCGATGGAGAAGGGTTGGTGATGACGAAGACAAGGATCCCCCTCTCCAGAGCCCCAAACGGACTCCAGATCTGGCCTCCTGATACGTCTCCAATGTATCTATAATTTTTTATTGTTCCATACTATTATATTACCTGTTTTGGATGTTTATGGGCTTTATTTTACACATTATTATCATTTTTGGGACTAACCTACTAATCGGAGGCCCAGCCTGTATTGCTGTTTTTTTTTGCCTATTTCAGTATTTCGAAGAAAAGGAATATCAAACGGAGTCCAAACGGAATGAAACCTTCGAAAGCGTGATTTTTGGAACGAACGTGATCCAGAGGACTTGGAGTGCAAGTCAAGAAGCAGCTGAGGCGACCACAAGAGGGTAGGATGCCCCCCCTATAGGGCGTGCCCCCCTGTCTTGTGGGCCCCTCGGGCGGCCACCGACCTACTTCTTCCTCCTATATAAGCCTACATACCCCGAAAACATCCAGGGAGCCACCAAAGAAATATTTCCGCCACCGTAACCTTCTGTATCCGCGAGATCCCATCTTGGAGCCGTCGCCGGCGTTCTGCCGGAGGGGGATTCCACCATGG